AGAAAATCTGAGGATACTATCAGATACCTTAGTATTTTTTATAATAGCAAGGGCTCCACAAAACCAACTCTTGATACTGTTTACAATAAAATAGAAAACTTCTTATTATTAATAAGATATAAAAAACTCCTACCATCACAAATTTCCTCACTCTTCAACCTTATTCTGCAACCCTCTTTAGAATACCTCCTTCAAATTATACTCCTTCACAAAAATATACAAACAAAACTATCTCGACTCCTTTCTATTCAAACCAAAAAAATGCTAATACTAGCCAAAAATACAAACAATATCTCTCTTACTAATCTACTTACATTCAATCTTTCAATGCTTAATAATATTATTCAAAAGATTAGTGCATCTAATATTGAATGAACCTTTAACTCCATACCACTCTTATATGATATTAAAATTATAAGAATTAAATCTTGGTTATCCAAAGTCTGGTTCCCAAAACTTATCAAAGAGATATTACTTACATATTCTTGCAAAACACAAAACTATACTCTTATATACTAATTAACGCAACTAGCAAAAAACAATATTACTATTTTCTCTTTTCTTCAAATCTCTCTTCTTTTAACTTGTAACTTCAAATATCTACATTTGATTTATGATATACTTTCTTGTAATCCTAATACCCTAACTATTAATAGTCTTAAAAACAATAGAATTCTATTTATTGAACAAATTACTACTGCAAACAATACTTATCTTCTTAACTAGAACAATATTTATCTTCATACAAACAAAACAACTAGAGGCCACCAACCTCTCTGGCATATTTAACTTAATACTATATCTACTACATAGCCACAACTAAATCTACCACCTATTAATTTCTTTATAAATACAACTAATTTAATATGCCTACCATCTTCCTCAAGTTTCTCTTCTTACCAATTATACTTTTTAAATGACAACTTAAATATATTCATTATTCAACAAAATAATTATCAACAGTCATACTACTTCCAAATTAAAAAAACAACTACAGGACAACTCAAACTTTTAAACACATCTCCCCCAACTACAAATCACCAATCCCTTTACCTTCCCTATAATCAAATCATAAATTACAATAGTACTACACTTCAAATTGATATCTCAGAAATTTTAGCACTAATACACATCTATAACAATAACATTATACTATTATCTCCTACTCCACAACAACCTCAAATTAATCTAATTCCTCATGAATTAGAACTAATACAAGATACTATCAAATCTCATTCTTATCAAAATCAACTAGCTAACCTATTTAGTCAAATTCAAAATCTAAATACAAACAATTTACACTTCTATACAGATGACTCTATTAAAAATCTACAAATATCTAATACCCATGTGAGTATTGGCTAGATCTGTAGCAATAATATATCAATTAAATATAACGCTGCTATTCTCCCATCTTCTGACTCTTTACGTATTAAATTACTTGCAATTATCCCCTTACTACTTGCTATACCTTTCAATTCTTTTCTCTCTATATATTTAGATAATACAACAGCTATTAAAAATCTATCCAACCCTCTTGTATCCAAATCTACCCAGTGCAAAAACTAGAACATAATTACTATTGTTAACTCACTTAAAACTACTAAAAATATTCACTTTGATCTCATCAAAATCAAATTACACTTAACTACTCATATCATAACCAAGCAGTTTCCTTGACAAAACTTGGTGCAAACAAATCTCTTCTTGTTCTCTCAATTTCATCCTTCAATCTTCCTACTTACTTCCTTTAGAAAAATCACATCATACTATACAAAGTACGTACTTTTATTAAGAATATTATTACAATTCAAGAGCTCTTATCATAGACCTTTTTAAAATTCTTTAATAATTATACTACTAGAATTAATTAGAATCTTATGTTTAAATTTTTAAACTCTCTAAAACAAAACTCTCAAAAATACTCCTTCTATATTAAAATTCTCACTAACAACCTTCCCACAATGCAAAACCTAAACACATGCTATCCTAATTTGTATATCACAAATACCTGCTCAAAATGCCTTCTTCTAGAAGATACCATATACTTTTCTGTCCTAACAACTCTCAAAATCTTTTACAATCACTTTATAATATAATTGAAAACACACTTTAACAGCTACAAATTACTTCTGTTTCTCCCTCCACACTTCTTAATACTCTTCTACAATTTACACTCAACCTTCCATAACCACAATATATCTGTATACTTTACACTGCTCTAGGAATTTATCTAATATCTACTATTAAACACATCAAAACTAAAACAAAAAAACAAACTATATCTTTTCTTATAAAACTCTCAACCAAACTCTTTGACTAGTTCCATCAAGAAATTTGGTCTCAACACAATCTACACCAGCATTAATGGGAATCAGCTCGAAATATTACTCCTAAAACAAAATGTCTTAAATTTT